AAGTTACAGTGCTAAGCATGAGTATACACGCCACTTTGAAAATATATGTTTTAATATATTTCTCAGTGAATATGGGCAATTTATTTGTGTGCATTTAAACAAAACAGATTTATTAAGCAGATATATTTATTAAAATAATATTTTTGTCACCAAACATATTTAGAAATTGAAAGATAATAAATTAAATTCAAGCAAAATATTCTTTTTTTCGCTTCTCTTGATTGTTCCTTTTTTGTTCATTTGTATTTAATATTTTTCTAACATGCATTTGGGTGTACTAGTTTTAGAACCGTTATTGTAAGTGTAAATGTAAGTGTAATTATTTTGTTAGATAAGCTCCAGATTTGGCTTTAGTACTGACTAATCTAATGTATGCACAAATATAATATTGTAATGATAGACGTAACAATAGCTTCTTCTATAAAATATGAATTTAAAAGATAGATTTGTAAGGGGTCTATATGCTGAGCACTGTATATGAAGCAAAACAATCATTCTGTGCAGTAACCTACATTTTGGATGGCCTGAGGATATGTAAATAAACTGAAAAATAAATATTTGGGGGAACCAACCCTTTAGGCTAAGTCCTACTTAACCAACCAGTTAAGCATCAGCTTTGTCAGTTAAGAACAGCATGCCATTTTAACCCAGTTAAAGCCATATCGATCAAACCTGATCCAGGGACCCCTGGTTTAAAACCAGTTATCTATGAAACACTGCATGACATGTTTGTGTCCTTACATAGCTGAAAACAAAAATCCCCTTCTTCTGTTCCACCACAATAAAAAGCTTTCAAGCAGGACAAATCAAGACAACTATTTCAGGTTTAAGAGCGAGCTGGTATGAATGAAGGCGATTACACAAAGTTGGGCTTTTTCCCCAGAAGAGAGAGAAGAAAAAACTCTGGTTTATTTGTGAGTTTAATGAACTCAGTCTCTCTATAAAGCTCTTTAAGAAGCACCTCCACCCCAACCAACCCCCTCCTTCACTTCTCCGATATCCCTACAAGCTTTGCGCGAAAACACCCCCCACATCCCTATGGTAACTAGTGGGATAGTAACGCATACACAATACCCTCCTCCTCCCCTCAGCCTCTTTTGAACCCAACGGAACTGGCAAGATGATAAACCCGCAGTCAAACTTTTCTCCGCACATGTTCACGCATACGTTGTGATTTTAAAACATACAAAACCCACATATGAACCCGAAAAGCAGATATTATTTAGACGCAGAGTCTTACCTTTATCATACTTCTTGAGCGGTGTCTTGGCCCGGTGTCACAATAGTTGCTCGGCTTCGATCGACCCGACTAACTCCTCCGACAGTCCAATGTCCGACAAATTACGCATAGTAACCTAGCGGAAATCGTTATACAAACCAATGGTGAATCTTAAAGTACACGATGAGCAGACAGACGCCAATATTTCGTCTCGTGCGTGAACAAACACTCCGTAGTCACACAACTAACGTTAGCAGAAGCAGAAAACTTTCCGTAAAAAAGTGCGACTGTCCGTGGCTCGCCAACTCCTTCAGGCTATGTAATTTAACGAAATAAATCAACCTGATTTCGAGGGTCAACCCGTATCGGTTAAAAAGTTTGGATAGGTTCGGTGGAAGGGCTCAGCCAGAGAGCCATGACTGCAGGCAGCGTCGCGACGGTATTGGCCAGCATCAGTGCACTTGTTGCGCTGATTGCTGCGGGGCGGAGAAAAAAGGTCGGCTGTGATACGCGGTTCATAGTCTGCGCACGGGACGCCTGCCAAAACCACCAGCACCACGACTGTGATATCATTTGTTTGATGTTACAGTGCCCTTTAATTATTTTTGTTTTGTTTTAACATTCTTCTCGATATGCAGAAGGGTAACAAGTAGGCTACTTTTAGCTTTTATGTTCTGCTCTGCTTAGCATGTTTTTACATCTTCTAAACAAACAGGTAAAGGAATAGTTTACCCAAAAATTAACATTTAGGCACTATTTACTTATCCTCAAGTGGTTCTAAACCTTTATGAGCTTCTTTATTCTGTTGAACACGAAAGAAGATATTTTAAAGAATGTTAGAAACCTGTAATCATTGACATCAATAGGAAAAAACAAATAGGCCTACTATAGAACAAACACTAGAGATGGTGTTTGACCCTAGAGGAATTGGCGATCATAGTGACCATCAATACTCAATCCATCACCCAGGTCAGCTCATAAATATCTTGGTGTCTTTTTGATCACTGAAATGGAATATAGCCTACATGTTGACAATCTCTGCATAAGCTTCAGCAACAACTACTTTTTACAACATCTAAGAATTCATGGAGTGGATCAAAAATGTATGATCATGTTTTATCAGGCTGTTTTTGAGAGCTTAATAAGGTACGGCATCACAGCCTGGTTTGGCAACTTGTCTGTGCAGCTGAGATCTAAAGTAGACCGTTTGATTCACACTGCATGAAAAAAAAATTGGTGTATCAGATCAGATGTCACTGCAGCATATGTATGAACAGGACACATTAAGACATGCTAAACAAATAGTTTGTGACGTATCACATGATGCACAAGGAGTATGAGTTGTTAACTTCTGGGAAAAGGTTCACAGTATCTTGCAGTAGATTAAATCAATAAAAAAAATTCCTTTTTTCCAGTAAGCATTAAACTATTAAATAATAGTGGTGGCTCAGACTGAGAGTATCTGTTTTGCTCATTTATGGGGGTAGGCATGTTACTTTTTGGGGGGTGGAGGGTAGATTTATTTATTTATTTATGAGCTCTTTTTTTTTTTTTTTTTTTTGTATGTTGTATTGTTTTAGCATGTTTGTGATGACTGCAGCTGAGTGCAAAAGCCCAAGACAAATTTCCCTTACTGGCACAGTAAAGTTTTTCCTTACCTTACCTCACCTCACCTCACCTATGATAGTCAGTGTTTAAATGTTTATATTCTCAACAGAAGAAAGAAATTCAAACAGGTTTGGAACAAGTGAGGGGTGAGTAAATGGGGGAGAGCGGGGCACAAAGTAAGACTTTTGGTTTTGGCCAAATAATGAACAAAGTAATAAGGTTAAACATACATTATTTTTTACCACACAAGTATAATTTTAACACATTAGCCTTCTACAAAAGAGCACTGGTGGTAGATCGCCGGACCTATGATTTCTGTGCAGTATTACCAAAAGTGCCAGGAGTAAAAATGTTGCTATTTACCCCACCTGCGGGGCAAGTTGTAACAGACAGAGGATTAGCTGTACCATGTGCTTTAAAAAGGCAGATTTCTCACAATTAATTTCAATTCAGTTTACTTTAAATAGTACATTTCCTCAGTACTTAATAAAAAATGTTATTCTACATAGCACAGCATGTTTATTTATTTATCTATTGGATAAACATATTTGGATGTATTTGCATTATTAACCATGAATATACAATTAATTTATTTGCATTATTAGCAATAATATTCTAGTAAAATATTTTTTTAATAAAAAAACGTTTTCTATTTAGAAATATTCCAACTATATACTCAACATTCCAAAATTATTTTGTTTAATTGGTGTTCAACAGTGTGGGGCTTACTTGTAACACCCTGTTACAACTAACCCCGCTGTGTCATGTTTTCCTCAAAACTGGCTTGCAGTCACTGTGTGTTTTTTACATCTTTCAAAATGGTTCCATCTATAAGCCCATACCATTATAAGATTTTACATACATGCTTTCACAAGTTAAAAAAAAAAAAAAAAAAAAAAAAAAAAAAAAAATATATATATATATATATATATATATATATATATATATATATATATATATATATATATATATATTTATTTATTTATATATATATAGAGAGAGTATAATTAAATTACTTTAATGCTGCAAAAATGGTCTCTCATCCATATTTTGCTGATTAAAATAAAATAAAAAAAATTGTTAGGAAGACATCTGCTGTAACCCTGAGAAAATTCATTAAAACTACATTTTACTCCATGTTACTTTATGCCCTGTGCTCCCCTGATGGTGAACTATCCCTTTAACTGTAATTTAGTTAAGTGCTAGGAATTTGCACGTTCTAGCTGGCTACTACTGGCCACATGATAATAGTGTAGCATTTAATAAATATATGACCAAGATTATGAGAATAATAAATGTAATTATTAAATAATTCAAGAGTACAGATTTGAGCATACATTCAAATCCTCCAAATACAGTCGAAGTCAGAATTATTAGCCCCCCTGTTTATTTTTTTTTTACAATTTCTGTTTAACAGAGAGCAGATTTTTTTTTTTAAACACATTTCTATAAAATAGCTTTAATAACTCATTTCTAATAATTGATTTATTTTGTCTTTGCCATGATGACAGTAAATAATATTTGACTAGATATTTTTCGAGACTCTTCTATACAGCTTAAAGTGACATTAAAGGCTTAGCTAGGTTAATAAGGCTAACTAGGCAGGGTAATTAGGCAAGTTATTGTATAACGATAGTTTGTTCTATCAAAAATATATATAGTTTTAAGGGGCTGATAATTTTGGGAAATATTTAAGAAAAAAAAATCAAAGGTGGGCTAATAATTCTGACTTCAACTGAAATCTTTTTTTTTTTTTTTTGGCTTTTGTAGGTTATCTATAAGCTAGCTAGCTTTTCCCTGTTCACTTGCAGTGTTTTGCCTTAAAGTCATATCCATCAATATGATCAACAGTTTTAATCAATTGTACTTCATGCCTTATGAGAATTTCTGTCCTAACAAATGATCATTGCTGATACATGTGAACAGGGTCTATCTGACAATGCTGTCTGTATGCAAACCTTTTCAAAACAACAAAGGTAAAACTTCTATTATTTCCTTTTTTAGTGCACTGTTGTCATCATGGAACCCCAATTGAGCAGAATAATGACACCATTGTTTCCTATTGAGTCTTTTCAACTTAAATTGTATTCAATTACATAACTGATATATACATTTTGACTGAATATAATAGTGATGCTTTAATTAGCAAAAACACTCTCTCAATCTCATTTACAACAGAAGATTTCATTTATTTTTCATTACAACTCTAAATTTATGCTTTGTTCTTGATTTTGAACATTTTCTGGTAACACTTTACAATAATGGTACATGAATAATGATGTATTAATATGTAAACTGAAGACTTTATCATAAACTAATGATAAGTTAATACGTGCGCTAATCATGAACTAACTTTAACAACAACATGAGTCACAAAAGTTTTTGCGTGAATAACGGCTACTTTACATGCTTGTTTGTTAATTAATGTATTGATTACCACCTTAGTTTATGCTTAATTTAACCATCATGAACTCATGATATGATAATGTAGATTGATGTCATGACTTTACTTGGAGGGGCACATCATCATTAACCCATTATTAACTACTCATGAACTCTTTATGCATGTCCAACTAGTGCGTTTATACTAAATAACTAGGGCTGTCACTATACTGGAAGTTGATACCAATCGGTAACGAAATTTTAAAATATCCATTTTCAGCTAAAGTTTTATTGCTGTAGAGCACGTTTGTAAACAGCACTGATTTGCCATTTAGTTCACATGCTCAACAAAAAACACTGTGATTGGGCTTGAAGGTCATCAGTTCACTAAACCTACCACTGTTTACTGAGTGTAATCACAGATACAGGGACACTGGAGTGTTTTAAAGCCGCGATTTATCAGCAGATCACTCGTTTGTCAACTTATACACAAACCAGCTGATCGACATTTAAAACGCTGCAGTGTCCCTGTTCCAGTGGTTAAACTCAGTAAACAGTGGTGAGTTCAGAGAACTGATGATCTTCGCGGCCAATCACAGTCATTTCTGTTGAGCACGTGAATACAATGGCAAATACGCATGGGACGATAACCGTTTTCAAGGTATACCCCGGTCTGGAAAAGTTAGGGTTTTAAAACAACCAAGATTTTCTCTAATACCATTCCTAAGGTATGTGTAAAAGTTTTTTTTAGTCCAACAGTATCTCCAGCAGAAAATATATCCGAAGATGCTGTTTTAAATTGTAAAGAAATCTGTGTTTTTGAAACTAATGAAGACAGCAGAAGTCACTAATTCATTTGTATTATTTAGCCTGTCATGTTTACTGCTCCAAAATATTATAAATCTTTTAAAAATAAAATATATTGTTTTCAAAGAGGATTTTTTTGTTTTGTTTAGTACCCAGACATTTAAAAAGAATATATATTAGAGCAGTAATCACAACACCGTGATACCGTGAAACCATCATTATTTTATCCAAGGATATCATACCCTTATAATCTTATACCAGCCCATGCCTAATGGCAATTCAGCACTGTTTAAGAATGCGCTCAAATGTTCACAGGAAATTGACGATTGAAAAATAAAAGTACCAATTGGTATCGAATTCCAGTATCGTGACAACCCTATAAATAACAATAGTTAAGAATGAGTTAATGATGATGTGCCCTTTAAGTAATGTCATGACATAATTATACATTAACAGCTCATGAGTTCATACATTTAGCTTAAACTTTAATGTTAATTAATACATTACTTAAAAACAAAAGTTAAAAGTTAGTTCATGATTCGCGCATACATTAACGCATCATTATTTCATAATATTTTTTATTTTGCATATTAACAAAGTGGCTAAAGATCTGAAGAAAATCAGTACACTGCCACTTTAGCTCTCAAAACATTTTTAATGTAACAACGTTTCGACCTACATGGTCTTCATCAGGTTAACCTTCATCAGGTTGACTTAGCTTCTCCTGATGAAGCCCATGTAGGTCGAAATGTTGTTAAGGTATATATTTTAGAAGAGCTAAAGTGGCAGTGTGCTGATTTTCTTTTGAACTTTTGCCACTGTGTTTTTGATTGAGCACATGCCTTTGAGAATCCTAGATGTGCGCACATTTCTGTTTCTTAGATTGCATATTAGTACATCATTACTCATGTACTGTTATTGTAAAGTGTTATCCATTTTCTTCCTGTTATTTGCACGACTTCAGGCAGGATCTTTAGCTTGCGAAAAGAAGAAATCCAGAAAAAACTGTATCATCATCATCGTCTGCATACAACCCATTGTATAGCTGTCTATCAGCCACTTGCAACCACACTTTGTCGCCTACTTCCAGTTCCAGGACGGTCCCACCAGAAGCCTGGTCCTCACCACCTTGGTAGCTGTCCATAGTGTAGATGACTCGCTGACCGTTCTTCATCAGCACCACTTTCACGTTGCGAGAGAAGACAGTGATATGGTAGGTGAAAAAATACGCTCCCCTGATGGCACACGTGAAGCGTCCCGTTTCAGGATCATAGTGACCTTGACTGTTATAGAGGACTCTATCAAATCGAATTGGAGCATTAGCGGCTGGTAATTTGGTGCTGTCGCTTAATCTGGCTGAGAAGGCACTTTTTGGTATCTCTGGCATGTCCCCCTTTGGACCTTGCTCTCCCATGTCTCCTTTTGACCCCCTTTCACCACGAACACCAATGCTGCCTTTATTACCTGGTTGTCCGATCTCACCTTTTGGGCCTGGTCGTCCGGGAGGCCCCAATGGACCCTGTATGCCCTTGTCTCCTTTATTGCCGATGTCTCCTTGTGGTCCTTCAGGGCCTACTGGACCGACATCTCCTTTTATGCCTTGTGGTCCTGGAATACCAAGTTCTCCCTTCTGACCTTTTAATCCCAGTGGCCCTGCAAAGCCTTGGGGTCCCATTTTGCCAGGTGGGCCCCGTTCCCCAGTATCTCCACGTTTGCCCTTTGGACCAGTTATGCCTGCAATACCTGAAAAAGGAGTAGCCTAATGATAATAGCATTAGACATATGCTGTTACAAAGCAAACGCACAGTAATTCATAACTTTTGATTTAGTGGCTAATTTGTGTGTAATCGTATGATCTCATTCATACAATTTACTAGGATATGCTTATCCCCCAATGACAATTAGGTTTAGGGGTGGAGTTGGGTGCCATGCCTCCTTTTAAAGAGCCCCTATTATGAATTAAAAAAAGGTCATATTTGTTTTATAATATGCATTTATTTTTACCTAATTAATTCCCATATGATTCGTTTAGTGATTCATTTGTTCCTAAACCCCTCCTTAGCATGATCTTAATCTGCACTGATTAGTCAATGACCCAGTCTGTTGTGAATGGTCGACTGCGTTCAGCGTGAGACAGAAAGAAATGCCTACCTAGGCTTATCAACAATTTTGAAGTAGTTGGAGTGCAGAGTGTATGTGTGAGCCCAATGCAGGAGAGAATTAAAGCAATGCAGTTTAACACCAGCATATATAGGGGCTCTTTAAAAATCATACATTTTCGTACATTAGACACTAAACTGACAAAACATAAAATAGTTACATTTCCTCATAAGATCAGGCTGTTAATGACTATCCAAGAAACACAAGAAATCTTAAAATGAACATTGTAAAATAAATTATAATATACTGTATAATATAATGAAGAAAACATGATGATAAATTATGTAAGTGCTAGTGCTGGGCAAAGATTAATCGCAATTAATCACATTAAAAATAAAAGTTGGTTTTGACAATATATATGTGTGTGAATCATATATATTTTTCATGTATATGTAGTTCAGATGTGATACACTTTCATTTAAATATAATTTCTATTATATAAATATATATTTTAAATCAAAATATAAATAAACAATTTCTCAAATATATGCAAGCATTTGTGTATTTGTAATTTTGTATATACATAATAAATATACATAGCACACACACACATATATGATGTCAAAACAAACTTTTTATTTGGAATGCAATTCATAATGATTAATCTTTGTCCAGCACATGTAAATATTTAAAATTATTAGCATTTTTGTTTTATTCATTTCAAATATAAAAACATTCATAATGTAATACAGGTGTCCTGCAGAGTTTAGTTCCAACCATAATCAAACACACCTGAACAAGGTAACCAGGATCTTACGAGGTATACTAGAAATTTCCAGGCAGGTGTGTTGAGGAGAGTTGAATCTAAACTCTGCAGGGACACCGGCCCTCCAGGACAGAGATTTCCTGTATTCAGATATGTTCACATTAAACAACAAATGTGTTTCTTCAGTTTCATGAAGTGTAAAAGGCATATTCGATTGTCAAAATGATCCAAACTTGACAAATATGGTCTAGTCATTGGTATACATCAGCCCAGCAGGCACACATCATAAGACGTTAATATTAGGTTAGATTTAGGCCATGACATCAGGTGATCAAAATTCAATGTCTAGCCAGCGTCTAAGGACGTTATTTTGACATCCAAAAATGACGTCAAATTACGTTGATATTTGGTTGATTTTAGGTTGGACATTGACGTCAGCCTGAAAAAATCCAACTTCCCCATGACATTGGGGTACAACGTCAATATGATGTCATGCTGATGTCCTGTGCCTGCAGGGAGGGTCACCAATCTCATTCCTGGAAGGCCAGATTTCCTGCAGAGTTTAGCTACAACCACAATCAAACACCTGGAACAAGCAAACCAGCATCTAGAAAATTCCAGGCAGGTGTGTTAAGGAGAGTTGGAGCTAAACTCTGCAGGGACATTAAATTTCCAGTCTTTAGATATGTTCACACTAAACAACAAACATGTTTTTTCATTTTCATTAAGTCTAAGGGTGCTTTCACACCTACACTTTTGTTTCGGAACGTATCTCGTTTGCCCAGTTAGCGCGGTTCGATTGGCATATGTGAACAGGGCAATCGCGCTCTGTTCCGCGCCAAAGTAATCGCTCCGAGATCGCTTGAGTGAGGTGGTCTCGGCTCGATTGAAACGAACCCTGGAGCGGTTCGATTGCAGTGAGAAAGCAATCAGATCCGAGCGCGCTTATATCACAGTGTTTTATGGATATGTAATAGGCATACGGCTATATGAAGAGAGAATTATAAATAGGACGGGAAGTTTCGCGAGTCTCCGGATGCCCGCAAACGAGTGATGATCTCCCGGTAATCCTGCGTCTCTCTCCCAGTCCTCAAATAGGCATCGTCGCGCACCCTTCTCACCCCTCCCCACCGCATCTCTCCTCAGACACGTCACGCGCGCGCACCCTGTCAATCACCACCAAACCACATCCTCTCCTGACAGCTGAGCGGGACGCTGCAAAATAAACCCTGACACTCTGACCAATGTAAGGAGAGTTTACTCGCACGTGACTTGTTTTAGCTCTTTTGGTCCGATTAGAAACTTTGCAGTGTGAAAGCGAACCGCTCCAAGAGCAAAGAGCAACAATGTAACAATTTTAATCTCTGTTTCGGAACAACTGAATCGATTCACAGGTGTGAAAGCACCCTAAAAGGCATATTTGATTGTCAAAATGATCCAATATAGTTTAGCCCTTGGTATACATCAGCCCAGCAGGCACACATCAAAAGACGTTAATATTAGGTTAGATTTAGGTCATGACGTCAGGTGACCAAAAATCAATGTCTAGCCAGCATCTAAGGACAACATCCAAAAATGACGTCAAATTATGTTAATTTTTTATTTTAGGTTGGACATTAGACATTGACGTCAACCCGATTTTCATTTACAAACAAAATTCAATTTCCCCATGACATTGGGGCTACGTTGGGGTACAACGTCAATATGACTTCATGTTGACGTCCTGTGCCTGCAGGGAGGGGTCTCCAAACTCATCCCTGGAGGGCTGGTGTCCTGCAGAGTTTAGCTACAACACTAATCAAACACACCTGGAACAAGCTAACCAGGATCTTACAAGGTATACTAGAAACTTCCAGGCAGGTGTGTTGAGGAGAGTTGGAGCTAAACTCTGCAGAGACACCGGCCCTCCAGGGCCAAGATTGGTGACCCCTGGTATACATTAAGAAATGACTTTTTAAAATGTATTTCTTGATGTACAGTATAAGAATTTGAAAATTTATAAATGCGCACAACGAAAGTAATATTTACCAGAATCTCCTTTATCTCCTTTCAGCCCCGGTTTACCAACATCACCGCATGTTCCTATATCACCTTCAGAAAGCACCAAAAGTTACATACTTTACTATGAAACATTTGCACAATGAATATACACTATTAAAAATTATTATGGAAGTTAAGGTTCCATAACAGCCTTTAACATTTATGAAACATTCCATTAATACAAACATGTCTTTAAGTCATTCAACTGTTCTTCTCAGTAAAAAAAACATGGTTCTTTTAAGAACTGTTCACTGAAAGACATTTTAAGAAACGGTAGCTCTTTTGTGGTCTCACTGTAAAAATCCTCTCCAAAAGTATTTTTCTTAAGAGTGAATAGAGGTCAAATTACCACCAGTTTGAGAAACCATGCCAATGTCTTGCACTTTACGTTCAAAATAGTACCAAAGTATTTATTTTACAACTTTGTTCAACTTGTGTACCTATCTTGCCTTATAACTTAGCTCAAAGGTGACTGATTAACATGGAGTCAAGGAAGTTTTGCTTTCATTCTTACCTCTATCTCCTTTGTCACCTCTGGCCCCATCTCTGCCATCACGACCTGGCATTCCATTGTGTCCCGGGTCTCCAGGAATGCCGGGGTGACCACAAACACAACCGGGACTTTTGTCAGAAGCACTCTGTTCTGCAGCATTGACCAACACAACTAGAAAAAGCGTACAGATGAGTCTGGGACAGAGCATGGTTTTCCTAAGCACCTTCACCACTAGAGTCCAAAAATGGTGTTCAGGGACGCATAATGTGCATATTTGAAGATTTGTCAGACTCCAAACCTGTTATTTCATTGGTCAGAAAGTCATTGTTAAGATTACTTATTGTACCCAAATGCGTTACACATCACCTGTGTCCTCTATTTATATTCCTTTTTGTATTTCAGTTTAGATAATAATCAACCTAAAACATGCTACTGCACAACCCATATTAGCATGCTCTTGCAAACAAAAGCCATTTACATTCATTCCACTGCGGAGTAAAGCTTAATGTTAAACTGAAAGCCAGTCTGTTGCATTCGGCCCATTGCATCTTTTGATTTAATTTGTCAATATTGATTTGGTCGCTTTAGAAATGTTACCGAACATCCATAAAGTCGGTCTAAAGAGCATCGCTGCTTAGTCCATATGGTCCCATGCAGCTCCTCTTGATTAAATTTCCACTTCAGTGACACTGCAAATGCAATCCAACGCATCCCAGCGCTTGACCTTACGAGTGCTGTTCCATTTGGCTTTAAGCGTTTGAAATATGTCTTGTCTGCCTCCCACACTGAAACATAAAGATTTCAATTAAAGTTAAAAGGTTTCTATGCCTATATAAGAGTGCATATGACAGAGCTGTACAACACCATACAGTATAAAGCAGCTTTAGAATATATAGGTCATTTTAAAGGGAGAGTTTGCACCCAAAATTTGGATTTAAATGTTTGTGAGTTTTATGTTTTCTGATGTTATTTTGAATAATGTGGAAACACATTGGTATCCCTGATAGGAAAAAAAATACTATGGAAATCACTTGACACTGGTTTCCTTTCTAACATTTTTCAAAAGATCTACTTTTGTGTTCAAAGGAGGAAAGAAATGGGTAAAATGGGGGGGGGGGGGGGGGTGAGGGGGATGTTAAACAAATCTTTTTAAGACATAATTATTTGACATAGGCTGTTTTATCCTGAATGTCTTCAGTGTAAAGTATGACTACTTAACTGGGGTTAAAGGCAAAATCTGCCTGACTGTTTTTACATTTTTAAAGCATTATTCTTTATGGGCACTCATGTTGACATGAAAGCGTGTTTCTGCCTTGGTTAAAAAACAAATAAAAAATTTGTTAATAATCAATCAAACTTTAGTTAATACAGTTAATGTGTCCGTTTTTTTTTTATCTCCAAAGTTGTTAGTTTAAATCTTGTAGGGAGGAAAATCTATGGATGAAAAAAAAAGATTCAAGATCATTTGTGTAATTCTGAGTTTAAATAGCATTTCTATTTTTTCCCCCCTCAATGTCCGCATAAGATATACTGTACAACACCTGGCAAGAAGTATGGAATCACCACTCTTGGAAGGTGCTCATTCAAATGTTTAATTGTGTAGAAAACAACCAAACCCACATGCCACAAAACTGTTTTCATTCAATAATCCAACCTTCTGGCTGTATGAAACACTAAGAAAAGAAAGGAAAGAACATTGTAGTCAATTACAACTGTTTTTACAGATCAAACAGGGGGAAATTATATGGAATCACCAAATAAAAACACCACTAGTACTTTGTTTGTACTACTTTTGCACCATTTCTGACTTTTATAACAGCTTGAATTATCTGAGGCATGTATTTAACAGTATTCTTCATCAAGCTGAGTTCAACTTTATCTTATTGCAGTTGCCAGATCAGCTTTGCAGGTTGGAGCTTTGTTGTGGACCATTTTCTTTCATTTCCACCACTGATTTTCAATTGGATTGAGGTCTGGACTGTTTCCAGGCCATTCCATTTACATTACACATCTTTCCGGTAAGTTATCGCAGATTTTGCATTATCGTCTAGAACAATTGAGTCATCATCGCCAAACATTCTTTCAATTGATAGAATGAGAAAACTGTCCCAAATCTCAATCTAAACTAGTGCATTTATCAAGGATGTATTAACTGTCATCTCCCCATACCTTTACCTGACATACAACCTCATACAATGAATAAATTTCATTGAAACGGCACCAAACATTGCAGATTCGTGATTTATTTATCACTGAATATCACTCATTTCCAGTCGTCCACAGTACAAGATTGTCTTTCTTTAGCCCACTGAAACCTTAATTTTTTTTGTTTACATGTTGATGTTGGTTTACGCTTGGCTTTTCTGTAAATAAATCCAATTAATTTTAGCCGATTTCTTACAGTCCAGTCACAGACATTGACTTCACTTTCTGCCTATTTATTCCTCATTTGCTTTGTTGTGCATTTTCTGTCTTGAAAGCATGCTGCTTTAAGTTTTCTGTCTTGACGATGTGATGTCTCCCTATAGGTCTACCAGTACACTTCACTTTTACAACCTTTCCATTTGATTTGCACTTGATTCAGATTTTAGACACAGCTGACTGGGAACAACCAACATCTTTTGCAACATTCTGTGAAGATTTACCTTCTTTGAGAAGTTTGATAATCCTCTCCTCATCCCTCATGTTGGAGCCATGAGATACAATATGTCAATCAGCTTGGTTCAAGACCTCTTTTTTTTTAACTGCAGACTAATTAGCGGTTGTAATCAGATAAAGTTGTGTGTTTTAAAAACAGTTCCAGTACATGGTGATCCCATACAATTTTCCTCAGATTTGTGTGGTTCCATATTTATTTCCTCAGTTTGACCTGTAAAAACAGTTGTAAATGACTACAGTGTTTTCTCTTTTCTTTTCTTAGTGTTTCATACAGCCAGAAGGTTGGATTATTGAATGAAAACTGTTTTGTGGCATGTATGTGTTTGGTTTTGTTTTCTACACAATTAAACATTTGAATGAGCATCTTCCAAGAGTGGTGATTCCATACTGTTTTCCAGGGGTTGTATATCTTTGCTATTGTGAGTTTAGAAGTCAAATTGTGTTATACAAAATCATAAGTCTGATTTGCAAGGTATAAACTGACTACTTTTCTCACAATTTCAATGTTATATCTAGCAATTCTGCTAATATTATTAGAATAGCAAGATACAGATTTACAACTTTAAGTTCATACATCAAAAATGAAAGATGCAAAACCTCAAGTCTAAGAAAAAAAACGTTTTATTAGTCATAAACTATGAGACTTATTTTTCAAAATTCCATGTTTATATGTTGCAATTCCAAGTTCAAATCTTGGAATTCCATGTTTAAATTGAACAATTCTGACTTAATTTCGCAGAATTTTTCAATATTCGAAGATACAAAAATCATTGTTTTGAGAAAGAGTTGTGAGAAATAAACTCATAAACATTGAGAAAGTCTGACAAATAAGTTTAATTAACTATAAACTGAAGAAAAAGAACTCAAACACTTAAGATATTGTACAATATTTGATTAAACTTTCTTGTACTGTGTCCTTGTTACAGTGAAATCGTTCATTTAACTACAGAGTATTATTAATTAATTATAAGTACTTAATAATATTAGGGTTAGGATGAGAGTTTAGGTCCAGTTACATGCTATCATGCATAATTGTAATTCACCTTATTCTTCGTGTAGAAGTGGGTGCAACTGATATTGTCTTATTGTATAACTGCTTTGTCTGTATAATCATGCAAACACTTGTTTGTAAATTAGTTTAATCGTTTTCTGTGATTTATTATTCCTATTCTCCCATAGGCAACTTAATCTAAAGCTCTAAAACAATCTCAAACTTGAGCGCACTTCCGTATTTTAGAATAAGGTCAATCGTAAGTACATAGAACATGTAACACCTTGAAATAAAGTCCTATATATTCTTTAAGTTAAGAACTTGAAGTTTAGACCGCTATTTTATAAGAAAGAACAACACATCTTTCAATTTAAGATACCAATTTATTAAACATTTTCAAACATGGTCACCAAAACCAAGCTTATTGAAACCCACATGGAATGTTAACACACAACAACACTGATGGACAACACAAACAAATATATCTTTACTATTGATGACTATTATTAATCTGCATACAGTACTTCCTGCTAATATGTGCATTGACATCCATTTAGCTAAAACCCAGCAATAACAACAGTACACATCCTTTACTGTACATTCAAACACTATAGTAAACAGCTGCGGTCTGTTATTTGGTGTATCAACACACACTTCGCTCTTAAAGAAGGCAGATTGCTTAGATAAATCTTTAATAATGACTATCTGCATACATATACAAATAAATAAAGTGATTCTTCTCACAAGCTTAGCAATCCCAACTTATATTAAACATACTGTATCTGGCATGCTTTAACTTCTTAAAGCGATAGTTCAACCCCCCCAAAATATCAAATGTCATGGTGTAATCTCCATCGACTTTGATTTTCTCCTTTTGTCCACAAAAGGAGATACTTTTAAGAATGTTGCATACCAGTAACCATTGAATTCCATAGTATTTTTTTTTCTACTATGGAAGTTAATGGTTTCAAACATCCAACTGCTCAATAAAAGTAACTCATTAATGTTTGAAACATTCTGATGGTTACCAACTGTTTTATTTTTGGGTGAACTATCGCTTTAAAACTTCAGTTTCATCATATCTTCATCAAATAGACACACCATCAAGAAACACTGCTTGGTAAAGGACTGTGTGAGGGGGTTTAAGGTCTTCTAGGTGTTTTAGGCAGGTTGCCGGGCACTGGTATAGCTTTACATAATCTGCCGATGCATCCCATAACCAGTCATGCCAGATTGAGATGCCCCACGGTTACTGCCCATCTGTAAACCAATCAGGTTCTGACCCTGGCGCAGTTGCTCCTCAGAAAACTCTCTCCGGTTGCCTTGAGACTTTCTGCCGCAGACAGGATCAAAGGGAGTTTACATGTCACTGAGACGCAGCAAAGTCCATTCACAAGACCTAACACACTGCTGTCAATACGTCTGCATAGGAAATGCCTTGCTCACCTGTGAAACCATTCTCTGTTTCCTCTGTATTGTCCATCGTCTTTTGTTATAGCCACGCTACCCAGCGCCATTAGCGTTCTCTGGACGGCTGCCATGTCTTTTCCTTTAACCAAGGGAAGTAAGAAGCACTGAAGTGACTCTGGCTATGAACCAAGAATGCAACTCACATGCTACAATACATCATTCCAGAAAGGCTTGGCTGATTAAAAGTAATGGCTTTGAAATAAATTGAACTCCTGTGTAAAATAAAGGGGCTACTCGGGGGTTTTAGACAACAGTGGCTGCTAAGTGAATTACAAACAGCAACTTAAAGAGTTAATTCACCTAAATTTCTTTTTAAATTTTGTTAATAATTCATTAATTCATTATACACCCTTGTGACATTCCAAAACCCTGAGACCTTTTATCTTCGGAATGCAAATTAAAATATTTTCGATGAAATCAGAGAGCTCCCTCATCCTCCATAGACAGCAATGGTCCAATTTATAAATTCAGAACACATTCACACAATTCATAAATGCAGCAACACACAATTTTGAATTCACAAGTTAAAATCATAAATATTTTTTTCGTCAAATTAATTGTATTTTTGACAGTTTAGATTTGTGTATTTATGAATTGTGTTTTAAACTTGGGAATTGGATGTGAATTTTTCAATCGTGTTTTGAATTTACGGATTGGATTTGTGCATATTTAAATCGTGTTTTAAATTTACGAATTGGATTTGTGTATATTTGAATCGTGTTTTAAATTTACGAATTGGATTTGTGTATATTTGAATCGTGTTTTGAATTTACGAATTGATTTGTGTATTTAAGAATTGTGCTTTGGAATTTACGATTGGATTTGGTTATTTTTAAAAAGTGTTTTGAATTTACGAATTGGATTTGTGTAGTTTTGAATTGTAGTTTTGAAGCTAGTTTTGAAACTTACAAGTTGTGTCTCATTTCCGAAGTTGCATCTTGCGCAGGATGCCAACTTCAAAGGTGAGTCCTTCGAAGTCCACACAGGCTAAACCGGGCGCTTTGAAATGAGACGATCTAGCCTACAGAGGACGGATCTTGTCACCAGACAATCGTAACAGCTGCTGTTAATAAGCGCTGATAAAATCTTAATTAATTGTTTTCAAAGTGATTTTAAAACTTATTTAAAATAATCTGAAGGCAAAACAAGGTATAAAGAAGCTAGAAATATATTTCCTTTGATCCATACATGTACACATAACATGTAACTGTCTATTAAATCACTCTTTAGAAAGACATGACATACACATTTTTTTCTTAGATAGTAAAATAAACCTAATTCATACATTTAAACTGGAGTTTTTTTTTTTTAAACATCCTATTGTTATCAGTGCGCAATGAATCTTGGGACGTTTGAGGCAGCAAAGGATCCACCAGTTGTGTCTTATATTACCTTGGAAACGAAGGACGCAATTGGAGGCTGCGTTTAAAGGAGCCTTTAAGTTTTTTTCAAATGAGACAGCCTTTGTCGCACCGCTATGACACAGCGCACTTCGAATGCTTCCTTCAGAGGATGCAGTCTCTGAAATGAGACACAGCTACAAACTTTTGTTTGCATTTGTTTTGAATCATGTTTTGTTCTTACGAATTGGATCTTGTAAATGTGAATTGTGTTGTGGATGTATGAATTTAATTCTGTAAATGTACTATTTATGAGACTGATCTGGCTCCATTGTATGATGTATCGTCATTAGAGTCAGTCAGCAGCGCAACATGCACTTGTCGTATTGTCCTTAGTAAACACGCACCCTGTGCTGTTAGGAGATACAATAGTAAACAAAGTGTTTATTACAGTTTTTTGCTGCACAAAAGTGTTCTTAGAGCTTCATATGAATACAGTTGAGCCACTGAAGTCACATGTAAATGACTTGACCGTGTTTTTTATCCTTTTCTGAACTTTGTCGCTGGACTGTTGCTGGCTATGGAGGGTCAAAGAGCTGTCAGATTTCATATAAAATATCTTAATTTGTGTTCAGAAGATGAACGAATGTCACAGGGGGTTTGAAACAAAGTAAAAGTGTGTAATTAATAACAGAAAAAAAATTAATTTTTGTGTGGACTAAACGCAAATAAGCAAGAATAAAGTAAACACACTAGAAAAATGACAGCAGTGGGAAAACAGCAGTAAAAGGGAAAGTTTTATTCTGTCATCTTTACACATCACAAACAGGAGTTTATTTCTTCTGTTTAACACACTGGTAACCATTGCCTTCCATGATAGGCGTTTACAACATTCTTCAAAACACCTTCATTTGTGTTTAATAGAAGAAAGAAACTCAAAGGTTTGGAACCACTTGGTTTGAGTATATTTTTAAATGTGGGTATTTATGATCATAGCAACAACCTAGGAAGTTTTTTTTGGTACAATCTGTTCAGAGAATAGAACTTTTAAACAGAAATTCAGACATTAACATTCGTACACATAGCCCCTTTCATTTTTTTATAGCTGTCGCCAAGCTAATTCCTAAATTCAAGAAATGCTCATAAAAGAAATTTTACTGTACCTTCCCACAAGTCCACTGTCTGAAAAATGTCTGTGGTTATTACTCCATAAGCTTCAGCTGCCTGAAGGAACTGCGAGATCTTTTCCATCTGCTTAAATGCCATCTGAGTCTCTGAGATCTTCTTTATAGGCTCCTTACCTCGTGGATACAAACTGTTGATGAGTCTACAGAGGATCTGAGAATTAAGGAACGGGGAGACAGAGATAAATGAAAGATGAACACAGTCGTGTTGATGTTCTACACTGATCGGGGTTTTACTCACAGTGCCATCCATTAACCAGTTTTGAAAGTTTTGTTTTCCTGGTTGTGGTTTTTCCACGTTTCCTCCACACTGAGCAACAATCCAGTCCTCCAGTCGAGACTCCAGCTCAGGGTCATATTTCTGCTCAATCTTCTCCTGCACCTCACGACTCAGTCCATAACTAGGGCCTCGGTTTGCCATGGTCAGTTACTTTATTAAGCTGTAGATCTTTGGACAGACACCAAAAATAATTCATTTAAAACTTGAAGTCATGACTGTATAGAAATAGTCTGAAACTTGGAAAAGGGTTAGGGATTTGGTAAGTGTAAAGTTTGAACACACACTCACACACTCCCACAAACTTGAAATGGTCCTAAAAAATAGACACAACTGACAACAACTGTATTATTCATAGTCAAAAATAACTATTTTGTGAAAAAATGCAGCCGATTTCATTAAGTGTAAACATTTTGTAAAGTGACAAGACAAAATCTTAATTTGAGATATTAACTTAAATCTTGAAAAACCACATACTCCTAAACAGCGTTGGAAAAGTTACTTTTGAAAGTAATCCATTACAACATTTTGTTACTCTCCAAAAAAGTAACTAGTTGTGTTATGAAAATAATGGTTTACGTTACTTTTGAGTTACTTTTTCCACACCTGCCTGAGCCTTGATCTCTTTCAGAACTTACAGGCTATTTTTCTTTTTATAATAGAGGAGCTCTGCATTTTAACGACACACTGTATAACCTACACCTTCATTTACCGTTCAAAAAATAAAAAAATAAAAGTTAAAAAAAATTAGAACAATGTTACCTTATGAGAACTTCCTGACGCTACACATGCCGTACATACAAATTAGTAAAGTTGAAAGCAACGTGTTTGCTACTTAAAATCACTCTTCATTGAGACTATAATCCCCTTTTCTTCCATCTGTTAACAGTAATGAGAATATTTTCATCACAGAAATGTATGGCTTAGTTTCTGTCTGTCCATCTTAGTTTCTGTCTGTTCCCGTGAGGGTCTTATTCTCTCATTGAGTGTGATTCAATGCGATTACACTAATGTAAATTCAGCAAATTATTAATTAAATGCAAATTAACTAATCTAAAACAGTAACTCAAAAATTATTACTAAAGTAATGCACTACTTTTTCGTTACTTAGACAAGTCATATTATTACGTAACTCGCATTACTTGTATAGTGTTACCCCATCACTCCTCTTAAATTTCTAACAGGTTTAGAAAGATGCAGAGTTTGCGAAATGTGTAAATCTTTTTATATTATAAAATGTATATTTTTGTGCATTAGACGTTTAAGCTGTTCTTCTTTTTAAACTTAACTGTAAAGAAATATTTGACCAAGTATTTTGTTTAAAAATAGACAAAATATAAGTCTGAGCTCCAAATCTCAACAGTTTAAGACACATTTCGTTTTGAAGTTTGTAATGCTCAAAAAGTGGTAATAAATGGATTATATCTACATCATGAATAAACTCCTTTCAACTCCTCCAAATCCTTGGTGATGCATAATACAGGATTAGAAAAAAAAAATTCTTGTGTAATTCTGGATTTGTATGTTAATGTTAGTTGCCCTTTACAGGCCCGTAGCCAGGAGGGGTTCGGGTGGTTCGGAAGACCCACCCCTCACTGACAAGGGTCCAGAATTTGTCCATACATATGCTCATTTGTCCTATTTTAACTGCTATGTCATCATAAATAGTGAAAATAACCCATCAAAAAAGCTTTAAGACTAAGTAGAATCCTCTGTTCTCTGTCACTTCAGTGACTTCAACTAATCAGTTTTATCAAATGCAAACGATTTTTTCATGAGTCCAACATCCAGCTGTGCAAGAAAACATACAATCTGACATGAGAGAAATCATCTTTTGCTACTGTATTGTTTTTAAATAGAGAAAATATGTTACAAGTAACTTTTATTCTAAATCTTGGACCTTTTTCTTGAAAGAAAAAAATGACCAATAAAAAGGTGTGAAGCACTAAAAGTGGACACTATTAGATTTAAAATTGATTTGATTACTATTTTAGCTATTGTTGAATTTTCAAATGTACTTTTTTTTTCAAGAGAGGCTGGAAAAAATGAAGAGCTTACATAAGATATATAAGAAAAGCTTTTTATAAGATAAAAAATTATCGTTTTATTTTTTATTATTGAAATGGCCAGAATATGCTACTTTTTTCTAATGACACATTATGTAATTTGTCATTTAAAAATCAATATTTTTTTCATATTTATTTACTCTGAATATGGTACATCAAAAAGTGTGGCTATAATGACCTTCCGACAAACTAATTTAGCTATAGTGTTTAAAATGTGACTAAAATGCAGTATTTAAATCTCTTAACTAAATAGAAAATAACTGCAAAAAGATCCACTTTTTGAGAAAAAGAACCACCCCTTTCACCAGGCTGGCTACAGGCCTGCTTTATCACACAATAGCATATGTTATATCGATATGAACTATTACTTTACATTTAAACACGGACTGACAAGGATCAATATTGACCTGGGTGTGGCCCATATGCTTCGGTTCCCACGTGTGACTTTCAATAAAAAGAATCTAAATATGCCTCCATCTAAACACATTTCAAATATTTGACTCAACCAGAAGAGCACTGCCAATATTCCTCAGTAGTTTATATTCAGACACAACGTGCAAACGCAAACTCCCTGCGCAGATTTTGCCCAAATTAGTTTTAAACTGTCACATTTAAACAATTAGAGCTAATTATGTCGTCACCACTAAAATAGCTTGATATTGTGTAAAGATTTACTTACTGTAAAGCGATGTGGGTGTCGTCCTCCTGAAAGCGAGGTCAAATCCGTCCTGCGGTCACTGATCATCAGGGATGCTGGACTGGAACATCCGAGCAGCGGCGAAAGGGGCGTGGATTCACTGTCCGGTTTGCGGAGGAGACTGGACTTATGAATATTAATTAGCATACGTAGCCTCGGCCTCGTGGAAATTTACCAAGCAGCGTCGGCGTGACTTGATTAACATTCATGAGCTGAGCTGAACAGTTTGGTCAGTATAATTGGTAAACGCACGTGTGGAATAGCAAGAAGGACAGACGACTGACCAAACAAATTCGACAATACGGTACACTTTTTATCAAGTGCTATACGTTATTTTGAAAACAAGACACTAGTTTGCATGTTTATCTGACTACGTTAAATGAGCTTCTTAATGGGAGAGAAAGACATGGGTTCAGAGTTAAAGAAGAAGAAAAACAACAGGTGGGAAATAACACACGGAGACTCTGCTGAGGAAAATAAATTAAGTATAATTAGGATAAACAAGTAATATCTAGGGTGGCTCAGTGGTTAGCACTGTCGCCTCACAGCAAGAAGGTCACTGGTTCGAGCCTCGGCTGGGTCAGTTGGCATTTCTGTGTGGAGTTTGCATGTTCTCCCCGTGTCCTCCGGGTGCTCCGGTTTCCTTCACAGTCAAAAGGCATGCGGTACATGTGCATTAAATTAATTTAATTGTACGTAATGTATGTGTGTGATTGAGTGTATGCGTGTTTCCCTGTACTGGGTTGCAGCTGGAAGGGTTTTCTGTGTAAAACATGCTAAATAAGCTGGCGGGTCATTCCACTGTGGCGACTCCAATCAAAGGACTAATGAAGGAATTGATAAAGGGACTAAGTAGAAGGAAAATGATTGAAATAATATCTAAACAAGGGTTAAAGCTTAGGGCCATGTTTTGTTATTTGTGCAGAATTATTTTGGGAGTATTATAACTAAAACCCTAATATGTGAAATAAAAAAATAATATCTTTTAACTTTTGTTTAATGTTTACAATGCAAATCCAATTAGATTTACTTTATTTAGTAAACAAAGAAAGTCTCTCATTTAATACATCTACTAAAAACACTACTTTACAAACTGCATTGTACATAAATCAGATGAACACTTTCATTTTAGTCAATATTATTACTGTAATTAATTTAAAAACTGAATATAGAATTACACACATTTACTCAAGTAAATAAACAGAATGATGGGCCTAAAATCTACGAAATTCTGCACGTGCTACTGTGTGGGCCTAGTTAAAGCTACTTATTTTAAAAGTTCATCTTAAATAGACATACAAGTGACTAAACAGATTAACTTTAACAAGGCAAGATTAAATTAAGGGTTAGTTCACCCAAAAATGTCAATTCTGTCATCATTTACTCACCTATGACTTGTTCCAAACCAGTTTGAGTTGTTTGTTCTGTTGAACAAAAAAGATGATATTTTGAGGAATATTGGAAACCTGTAATCATTGACAATAGGAAAAACAAATACAATTGATGTCAATGGTTACAGGTTTCAACATTCTTTCAAATTTCTTTGTGTTGTGTTCAACATAAATAACTAAACAAACTGGTTTGGAACAAATCAATTTAAGTGATGAAAGAATGTATATTTCGAGTAAACAATCTCTTTAAATCTAAAAAAAATATATATCCATAAGACTACGAATTGAAAGTCTGAACATCTAAGTGGTGCAAACACATATTTAGGAATTGTCATTTTAACGACACCTCTGGGTGACACATAACATTGTTATTCACATGTTTCATTTTGTGTATGTAAACTGCATGTTGCCATTTCAATTTCAGCTCTAACCAACTGATATAGAAAGGTCAGTCAGGTTGTTAAAAACAAGCTCATCGGTTAGGCAAGGGGGTAAAAAGCCCCCGGCCCATTGAACACAGCTCAACACTAATCACGCATGTTAATAAACAACCAAGCAGTTCCTGGAGCAGTGGCCCTGTGCGTCCTCCAAACAAACAGCAAGAGCAGGGGCCAGGAGAGAACTGAAAGGTCAGCTTTGATATAATGTGCTGGATGGGATCTTCACACACCACTAATTCATTAAAGTCATCTTAAATTTAAAGTTAAGGAAATATGCACTCATGTCCTCTCCTCTCCTATCCTATGTCCTCTACAGTGTCTGGGGTTCTTTCCTAAGACTGCTGCCCCCAGGACCGGCCCCAGAAAAATCGGTAGAAAAAGAATGAATGAATGAATATTGAATAAGCCATTAAACTGTTGTATAAATGCAATATCCCACTGCGATATGGTTGTATATCTGCACTGCACTGTGGCCTCACAGTATACACACTAATCACAGCATTGCTGATTTATTACAGTGCTATGAGTGTGATATTGCGCATATACATACTTTCCAATGTATATTCTAAAGATAAATTATTATGCCAAAGGTTGAAATATACATTTAAAAGTTTTTCATTGAAAAAAAAAAAAAAAACAGAAAATTTCGTATTACCTTCAAAGTACTGTCAACTTAGAATAATTATTTTCATTTCCATGACGTCATAAACACCAAAATTCACTCACAGTTCATATTAAGGGGACCTATTGTGCAAAATCATTTGTACAATGAGTTTAAACACAGTTGTGTGGCTACAGCCTGTGAATATAACCAGCTTCTAATGTTAAAAATGTATTCATTATTTTAGAATCACACTTCATAAAAACATTCAGAAGAAACACTTTGATTGACATGTGAGAGGGAAAGCCTCTCCCATTAATGACAATCTCTCGCTCATTAGCATAGGACATGTCTTGTTTATGAACCTACCACTATGCTGACACATAGGCATTATTCAGCTCCGCCCTCTTTTGAAATGAGGGCTGGAAGCACAGTCTTACTTAAATTTAAAGCAACAGTCGCTAAAATGACACAATTAAGATCAAGTCCTAAAAGGGGCAGTTTCAAAGAGCTACAAAACCTTATTTGTGAGGTATTTTGAACTAAAACTTCAAATACACAGTTTAGAAACATCGGAGACGTATTATATTGTAAAAAGGGGCATAATAGGCTCCCTTAAATTATGTTATAGAAATATAAATATATTTTCCCAGAGATGGGGAAAAAAAACGTGCTTGATAAGTTGGCGGTTCATTCCGCAGTGGTGACCCCGGATTAATGAAGGGACTAAGCCGACAAGAAAATGAATGAATGAATGAAGTATAAATATATGCAACAGATAAAGTTTTTTGTAGTAATTAGAATCATCTAAACACTGTTAACTGTTAACTTAGCTTACGTTTGAATCTAGAATATTGATATTCCCATCAAAACACAGTTTGCTGGTATACAGAGGCTTTATTAATCTAAAACAGTTTGAAATATGCTTTTAAAAAAAGGCACAGGAGATCTAGACAATTGTTTTACTCGACAAACAGCAGCTTTATCTAAAAGGTCAAATGGCACAGCGTTGTGGTAAACATGTAAAAGAAAATATTTTGTCCTCTCACAATATTGTCCACCATTTCCATAATTCTCGTCTCACAAGACCAAACCATAAGAGAGTGTTTGGCAAAAGAAAGCAGGAGAGGGTGGTGGGGTCTCACACCATGGTGGTGAGTTTGTCTATGAGGTCATCGATGGTGTAGACAATAAGTTTGATGTCATCTTTTTCGGTCATGTGGTGTTGGCCGTGGCGTCGCAGGATGATGTCCACGTCAGGGCTCAGTACTCGCTCAGCCACTTGCATAGAGATGTGCCAGGGCACGTCCTCATCCTTCAGACCGTGAATGAGGCGCACAGGACAGGTGATGGGGATCGGGCTTTGTAGGATGCAGTGGTTTTCCGCTTCTTGCAGGAAGTCCATATTGACAGTATAAATGCCCTCCTGGTTACTTTTCGTAGGGATAGTCCAAATTCCCTTGTCCTCGCACTCTTTTCTCACCTGTATGAAAGATTTCAACTTGCTGACTGATTTCTGAATTTTAATATTCGAACATGCAAGACAAGTTATGAAGCATTTATAGCATCAATATTTTTATGTTTATTTTATGTGAATTTTTTATTAAATAGGACACATTCTACTATACAGAAAAGGTTTAAAGCAACAATATTAGTATTATTTTTTAAGAAATATATTATTCTGTAATCATATGTATATTAAGTTTAAATATACATGTTTAAAACAATAGAAACATGTCAATTGAATTTATAAAAACTAACATTTGATAAAATTCAAAATTGCAGTTTAAATAGTTATAAACTGAATAATATACGCACACTTTAATTTCTGATTATCAAAAATATCATACTAACATGAAAATTAATGTAATAAGTTTGAGCATGTCAGATTATCTCACCTCTATAGGAAGTGCCTTAAATGCTGTAACAAAATGATCTGCTGCTGTGGAAATGCCCACTAAGGCTTTTGTCTTCTCTGGGCGAGCAATGGCAGCCAAAAGCATCAGCCAGCCACCCATACTGGAGCCCACCAGGATCTAGGAGACAATCAACTACAGTACATAAAGGGACAGCTCACCTGAACACAGCACTGAAAAAGATTGTTAGTTGTAACTGCGGTCTTTGGTGAGTCATAAAATATCAGTCAGTGGCAAACATTATACTTTGAGAGTCAAAAACAGCCTAAACAGGCAAAACTTAATTAATACCCTTGGCTTCGGATGTACATTGAGAATTTGTGAAGCAAAATTTGTATTAAAAGGTAATAATTATGTATATAATGTTCAGTTTCCTGCACAGACTGACACATGTTTTTTTTTTGTACTTTTAGAGTACTGGTTGTAAAGGTCATTTATTTGAATCACCAAAGACCATGGTATCAGTTTCAAATAGTCATTAGTTTTCCACTTATGAAATAAGCAGCCTACCTCATGAATGACCTAAGGGTTAGTACTTTAAAAGCTAATTGTAATTTCTAGATGAACTGCCACTTTTAACTAACAACAGCGTTCAATGCCATAATCAAAAATGTTAGTGACATCTAGTGGTCATTCTTTAAAATTAATCAAGAATAGAGGATCAACATTAAACAGGATTATTTCAAATTAAGTACATAAACATATAACAACACAAAATCTTTCAAAAATTCAAAAGCTGTCCATTTTTCGCCTGGTTCTTCTTTTTATTTGGTGTCTGTGCTGTTTAGTAGGTAACGAAAAGTCTTTGTAACTTTACCTGAGGACCTTCAGCAAGTTCATCTAACATAAACAGAACGTCTTTCTTCCAAGTTCCAATTGTGCCTTCAGAAAATACACCCTCTGAAGCACCATGCCCAGAGTAATCGAACCTGTGAATGCACATAAAATGAACTGAGATTGGTGTGAACTTTCACATTGAGAATTTCAGCACTATTTAAATGCATACCGATGAGTTACTTAAGTTGTAAAAATTTCATTATAATAGCTAATTTAATCTATTACAAATTACTACATATTATGGGCATCATTAAACATCAAAAATGCAACTGCTAAAAAAATTAAATATTTAAAGCCAACATAAAATGTAAATCAACTTTTTTCCCCACCGGATTCAGCTCCATACCTAAATGTATGTTTTTTATTATTGTATAAGTTTTGTTTACTAATAGAAATGAATTTTGAATGAATAACTTAGTAATGTTTTAAGCCAAATATATGTAACGTTAAATCAAAATATTAATCAAAATATTAAATCATCATTATTGGACCTTCCAATGAAAAAGTTTCTTTATTAAATGATGCCCACTAGTGGTCAAAAGTTTGGAATAATTAAGTATGTTTTATGTTTTTAAAAGCCTCTAATGGTCACCAAAGTGCCATGTTTTTGTTAAAAACAGAATCCTAAACGTTATCAATACAGATTATTAGTATGATTTCTGAAATATCAGTAGACTAGAATAATAATGCTGAAATTTTGCCTTTGCCCTTATAAAAAATAAACAATAAAAATAAACTACAACACTAGAAGAATATCTTATAACAGCATAATTTAACAATTCGTCGCCCTGGAATTATAATTTTCTATCTGCATTCTAAATGATTTTGAGATATTGAGCTTCAAAGTTTTTGCATTCCATATAGCAAGCAATATGTGTGTAACAGTTCTCTTGACATGACAGAGACCCTCTTTGATTTGCAAATTTGGATTAAAAAAATAAAATAAGTAAATAAATAAAAATCGGCAAATGCAGATAGAATATTCTAATTCTAAAAACTAATTTTCTGCTTGGAATTATAAGGTTCTATCTGGCAGATCAATATTTTGAGCATTCATTTTCAAGTAATACAACCAGTCTGCTTATTAATTTAGTTAAAAAAAATAAATAAAATTGGTGTACCAATATGCTGATGATCAAGAAAGTTAAATCTTTGCTTTCTTTAACATTTAATGTTTTAAGATGAATATTTTTTTCTAGTTCAAAATAAGCAAACTTATTAAGCAATAAGGCTGTGCTAAATATTTTGTCCGATGCAGATGTTATTTTTATGGAATTAATATGGTTATATTTATTGAATTATATGCTTTACACGAATTATTCAAATATATTCCCCATGAATTAAATTAGGTGTTTGCCCTTCATGGCTTAATATCAAATTTAAAGACTTAAAAAGAAAAGAATGAGCAAATGAGTTTAATAGCCTATATATACACACAAATAAAAAAAAATTTAACATTTAATACATTACATTTTTTAATAACTGTTTCTTTTTCAACAATGTAAAATTTTATATTTCATCTCAATAATAAAAAAATGCTCCTAAATCAACTCATTTGCACATCTTTTCAGTATCAGGTTTCTTCTAAATTTTTTGTGGTGCAGCATTATTTAGTCAAATCTGATTTTGTGTTTCCTTCTGGTCCTTCCCGCGGTCAACAGAACAGTCTGGAAAAATGACAAAGTAAGCTGATTCTGATTGCTCCTCGTGCCTTCATTTGAAATGCAGATTGGCTTACAGAAAAAAAACTTATAGAGCCAAGCTTGAGTTTGACTTTGTAGATGAAACCTTTTTTGTTTTTTAAATAAAGTCTTAAAATGTAAACAACTTATAAAAAGCATCACATAATGTAAAGTAGTCTTTTAATAAGAATATGTCAATAACTGAATTTTGACAAAAAATGTCAGATAAAAAATATATATAATTCAAAGATGACGAATTGTCAATTATTTAGCAACTGACTTGATTTAACAATAAAAGATTAAAGACTTGTGCTTGATATGCATTGTACAATTCCAGATTGTTCCAAAAGAAAGACGATGGTGAAACAACTGTAGCCATTTGGTTGTAGCTCCTGGATGCTCCTTGCATCACATGGTGAGAAAGCTTAAAAAAAAGCTGTAATTACAGTTTTGCGACCAAAGACGCCAAAGCCTATAAAATGTTCTAGCCATGTCAAATTACTGCCTTTTTTCTCTACTGACTACCTAATGAAAAGCAACATAAATTGTCACGCTGATGAATGTCACATGCTGCTAGAATGTAAATACCACAAAGCCAAATGAAGGTCTGTAACCAAGGCCTACCATAACCAGTCAATTCATTTAAATAGAAATTCGTCTCGCTCTATTAGTTTAGCACTAGCACGTGCCGATGATAACATTTGATTCCTTCCAGCTAACTTATGTTGAAGCCTAAAACTCAATGGGTGCCATTATCATAGTCCAGAGTGTGATTAGTAATGATCTTGTAAGATTAAGTAAATTAAAAAAGAAAATCAGATTTTCTGTACAAAAAGTTCATGATTACTTTAACAAATTTGCTCAATTATTTAGTGGCATAGAAATAGCCCAGATTCTGGAATCATTTAACGTAAGATCGGATCATTCTAAAGCAGTGATTTTTGTTTATTTACTCTCAGATTTTTAAACCTCGTCGTTGCACATAGATACATGAATATGACACAAACCTCAGGTAGGCATGACCCAATGACTTGCAGAACTCCTCCAGGGCTTCTGCCTTCGGGCCGCTCATGTTGGATCCATAACCAGGAAGGAACACAACACCAGGACTCTTTCCCTTCACTCTGCGGTACGCCAGCTTTGGAAGATCTGGCCGTGATATGTACTGTACTGTAGATTTTTGTCTAACTCCTGGAGATAAACATAACAGCATGTCAGCTGGGCTTTCCCCCTGCATTTTGTTTTAAACTTGTGGTATTATTCAAAAATCTGTAAGTTTTTCCTACACTCTCAAAAATAAAGGTACGAGAGCTGTCACTGGGTTGGTACCTTTTCAAAGGGTAGGCACTTGAAGCTAAAGTGTCCTTCTTAATACCTCAAGGGTACATATTAGTACATAAAAAGTGTAAATATGTACCATTTAATTTTTTTGGTACTAATATATACCTTTGAGGTACCGTTATGGACCTTTTAAGTACAAATGTGTACCGTTTGAAAAGGGACCACCCCAGTGACAGCAATCATACCTTTATTTTTGAGAGTGTAGAACTACAGTAAAAAAGTAACATTGTACAATACTAGATAGCTGTACTGACATGAACTATTTTTCGTTGTAAAATGCAACAACCTACGATAGCAAAAATAAAGCTGTAAAAATTAAAGCAAAAAAATTAACAGAACAATCCTAAAAATGATCAAAAATCATGTTAATATGCTGATTTATGCAATAAATAAAACAGTTGTGACACTTCAAATTCAGTATAAAATAAAGACAGAGTCTATATTTGTTTAGAACAGGGGTGCCCAAACTTTTTTTGTGGTAACGGGGCAAAAACCAAACTTGATTGAGAGCTGTGGGCCAAAAGTAAACATACCAAACTGTATTACATAAAGTTTTCATGAGTGATTTCCTCATTTATTTGCTAAGTTTAAATTACATTAGCTAATGCAGAATATTTATAAAAATTATAATAAACTTATAACAGTAAAAACATTAACAACCAACACAATGGAGTTAAATGCTGAATACACTAAGCTGCACCTGCCTTTAACTTGATTTGCCCACCGATGTCTTGTGCATTGCCTGATATCGGTCTAGTGACAGTATTTACATTTTAAACAGTCAGATTAATTTACAAAACAAACAAATGTTACATAAAATTTTGAAATGACGATTTCTGTCAAAGATAATCATCCATTTTCCCTCTGTTCTCAAATGGGATGGTGAGCCAAATCAAATAGCAAAAGCCAACTTTGGACCGAAGGCCCTAGTTTCATTTCAACCACATTTTACGTTTAATTTATTGTGTTTGAATAAAAGAAGTGCTCACTGAGGTACAGTTTGCAGAGACGGACTTGACCAATAAGCAAGGCAAGCAGCTGCTTAGGGCCCCGAGTTTGACCAATGCCAAGCAGCTCATATTAACCATCCTATAGCTCTTATATCATTTGTAGTAAAATATGTCTATAACTCTTTAAGATTTTAGTGTTATAACTTCTTTTCTAAACCGTGGGCCCCCATGAATAGTGGTACGTTCCTTCTCTTACTGCACATGCAAATATTAAAATCTAATCACAAGTATGGCTACATGTGAGCTTGTTTTTTCTTTGCGAATTTACTGTATTTAATTTTACATTAAGAAGGTTTCACTTAAAATATATTTTTAACATGTAGTTCATACAAAGTAAAATCATGAATCTATAAAGAAAAAAATATCTGTAGAGAAAGAGAGTGTGTTTTGAGAATGCTAGGGCCCCCAAATCACTAAGTCCACCCCTGGTTGTTTGTATATTCCCATATAATTGGACATTTTCCTTAATAATAAAATCTCAGAAAAGCCGTCTTTGACAATTCTAAATAGGGAAATCATATTAGCAGCCAAAGATTGTTCACAGTCGATTAAATTATGTAATGTTGTTTTGAAGTTATCATAGTCATCATTTCAGCCTCAACATTCAAAGTAGCGTGGTAAACTATATAAATACCGTGTTACAAGTTGTCACTGCTCAAAAAATAAACGAATGTGCTCATATAAAACCAACTTTAACGTTTCCTCAATGTTGTGCTTTGGTTTCTTGACTTTTTAACTTTAAACAGCAACATGTGTCGACACAATTTTACTCATAACTGAGTCGAAAACATTACATGACATAAAAAGGACTTAAAACACGTGTAAACAATTATAAAAACTATCTTTTCCGCAATTATATCTAGTTTTAAGCAAAACTGTGCAATGTTAATCAGTCCCCTCAGGCGTCTTCATGCCACACCCCCTTATTTTGGCTAGTTTTAATTAATGGTGGCTTCCTCAATAGTTGGCCACAAGTATACATGGACTGACCCTGAAAAGCCTTGAACCCGACAGTGCCAACAGCTCCATTGCCCGAGTTGTGTAAAAGTCCTCTCCAGCAATGCTTGAGCACCACCGCTGCCATGCTGTTTCACCACCCACCTCAGAAATAACGCGAGAGTACGCGGGGTTGCCAAGTTATGAAACGCTTATGAAATCCCCCATTGAGGGAGTTTTGTCATGTTGCCAAATACTTGCCATTTACTATTTTTAACCCTCATTTTCTTTGCGTAACACAGAGATAAGAGATAAGAGAAGACAAGACGTAGAAAAGTTATTCTAAAAGAGTAATATTAAATTCTAAAGTATAATATAAGGATAATAATTTAGCAGCTACAAAACTCATCAGAAGAGTCTGGCTGAAAGATGTCAGTTAATCGGTTTTTAGTGATAAAATTGAGTTACAACCCTGTTTAAAAGAGATTCTGAAATTGTTATAATGGTTACCACTATAAATGACATTTTAAAACGTGTCCTGGATGCCTTATTTAATACCTTAATTAAATAAAGAAACCAGAATTCGCCCCCATTGGCTATATATTTGTAATGTAGAGTTTTGTTCAGGACCTTTTTTATTTGTCCAAAGAATGATTAGATTAACACATTGCCACACAAGGTCTCTTGATGGGTTCTGCAAATGTCCATTTCAGTGAAGAAAATTAATGAAATGCAGTTTTATTAATAAAATAAATCCCGGAAAAAAAGAACAATTACAACAAAACAAAATCCTTCAACATTAAACACTACAATTTAATGAGGGGGTTATTTCTCATTTCATCAGTCAAAACTTTGAGTTTTTTTTTAAGGTCACCATATTGCATTGTAGCTAAAATGTTATGAATTTCATTTTTCTTTTTAGGCCTGGAAATCAAAAACTTGAGGACACATTTATGTTTCTGAAAATTACTGAAGTACATTTATAAAAAAAACATTAATTTATTTCATTTCGGCTTAGTCCCTTTATTCATCAGGGGTCGCCACAGCTGAATGAACCACACACTTATCTAGAATATGTTTTACACAGTGAATGCCTTTCCAGCTGCCACCAAGTATTGGGAAACACCCATACACTCTTACATGCACATACATACACTACGGCCAATTTAGTTTATTCAATTCACCTGCACCGCATGTCTTTGGACAATGAGGAAAACCGGAGCACCCAGAGGAAACTTATGCGAACACAGGGAGAATATGCAAACTCCACATAGAAATGCCAACTGACCAGTCAGGACTCAAACCAGCGACCTTCTTGCTGTGAGGCAACAGTGCTAACCACTGAGCCACCGTGTCGCCCCACATCTTTCAAGACAACAAGTTTTTATTTTTTTCTGTTGAAAATGTAAAGAGCTAAAGGAAAAAAGGAATTGAGCAATATAAAGAGTACACAGCAAATTCATCAGAGTTAAAGTCTCGGTGTTGAAGCATTTGAGAGTAAAGTGTTGACGTTAAAGAGTTAGATTTTAATAAATGAATATAATAAGAGTTAGAATTGTTTTTATTCAGTGCGAAATCAAGGAGTTATCTTTTCCACACTTGGTGGTGTTATTTCCAACATCCGGGAATTCATGCAGCCCCAGTCACTGAAGAATTTTCCAGACGCCATTTTCCATCTGAGATTTAGAACAGCAACTGGTGAGTCAAACTACCTAAATGTTGGTATTTTACTGACTTTCTTTAAGGAAATACAGTTGTAAACATGTTGTTAAGTTAATAACTTTAGAATGGAGTTACAATTTTAAACTTCTGCGGTTCATTCATGGTCGTTTGTGTATCTAGCTTAACTGCATTGCTATTGACTTCTTTTCAAGAATGTTTTTATATATGCTCACGCATACATAGTGCGTAAAAACATCAAATGTACATGTTCAACACATTTCTGTCACGCTTAATGCCATTTTGTGCGTTGTTACCCATCTGTAAAATAAAATCGACACTTCTCCTTTAATTCCAAGCAAACTAGCGAGGGAATCCCCGGAGCCGCCTAACCTTAGCCTACTCTGCCCGGATGCTAACGGCAACACAGGACGGTTTCCATAAGCTCTGGAGAGTTTCTAAAACATATCTGGTGAGTAAATGAACATATGCTTACTTGTAAAAGGCTTCCTGACTGAAACAAATGATTGTTTGTTATTCGTGTACGTTAATTTGGTTATTTTAAACACCGCGGCCCTTTTAAACTGGTTCATTCGTGGCCGTCCATATACCGTTAACGTTAGTCCATAACTTAGACTCGTGTGATAACGTACGCTTGAATTATATTAAGTGTTGACAACCATTAAAGTCGGAATGTTAACATTAATGTCTTTAAATGACCGCGTTTGCACTTTATCAGACATTTAACGTTACAGAAGTCTCCCGGAAGTTGCGGGACTATCGTTAACGTTATCCCGCAAATGCACAGAGACTCCCAGATGCCCAAGTAGATGCCCGCAAATGAATGATCATCTCCCGGAAATCGCGCGTCTCCCGCCCGGTCATTAAACACTTTGCACGCCCTTCTCCACCGCATCCCTCCCAGCTCTTCAGGTACGTCGCGCGCAAGTCACCCCCACCGCTCTTCAGGTACGTCGCGCGCAACTCATCCCATTGCTCTTTAGGTACTCATCTCTCCCGCTACCTCCCGCAAATCAACTCTGTATCCCCCGAAAATGACTTTTCCCAACTCGGGATGTCTGACGTTAGTAAGTTAGGCTATTTCTGTTGTCAGGAACATCTTAGTCAAGCTTTTTCTCCCGCATGATATTGTGCTTAAAACTATAGGCTAAACTTAGCATGCACTGTACACAACATTTCTGTTTTATTAGTGCGTTGTAAACAGCCACCTGTCTGTAAAATTAATCAACTGATTCATATTTGAGCAGCCTAATGATGATACAGGTTTGATTTGTAGATTTATTATCAATAATCAACATCTGAATCAAAAGATATGTGAAAAAGTGTGAGGCATACTTTGTGATGTTCATCTCTCCTTTTTATCTGAAGGTTATGCATATGTGTTAGATACTAATGTGTTGTTGTTTTTTAACAGCCACAGTTCTCTGTACAATAACACAAGACCCTGTGACGGTGGCTGATTAGAGACGGATGGTGTATTTCCAGAGTTGGTGAAATGACCAAGCACACCTTCTTGGTCGTATGTGGTGATAATAATGAAGGTATGTTTGATAAAGTTCTGTATTTGTTTCACAATAAGCTGAGAGGGTATTAGAGCATTAGAGAATAACAAATGACATGAAGGTGATAAGTTTTGTATTGTGGGTGAACTGTTACTTAAATAATGTTTTGCTGTTTGCTTTGCACTTTTTCTCTTCTGCTTATCCTAATATTTTAGATTATATTTGGACCTGAAACATCTGCTAGACTCCAGGAAAGGTGGCGTCAATACTGGACCTGAAAGGGCCTAACAAGTTGAATCTGGTAAAGAAACACGCACACACACACACACACACACACACACACACACACACGCACGCACGCACGCACGCACGCACACGCTTACAGAAAACTGTAAGTTTATGAATATTTTTTACACTGTGGCCAATATTTTGGGGAAGTCAGCATCACTAAATGATATAAAATATTTTAAGCTCCTCTGAATTTTGCTCCAAGTGTTGTGTTAAATTCAGGATTGTGGACAGACAGCTGCCTGTTTTTCCAGTTCTAGTCATAGTTGTTAACCTAATTGTTTTTGGAGATCCAACAGTGATATATGTGTTTTTTCTACTTTTCCATAACCTGTCACCTCAACCAGCTGGGAGAGTCAAGTTGTGGATCATCATGAAGACTTTCAAAAGGTGAGTTTAGATTTCTTGAATGTTTTATTTACTTTAAATGTTCTTTTAAATATATCATAGAATTTGATTGCAATTTGTTTTCAAACATTTTTCTTAGTCATGCTGGAGTCTTGAAGAGTTCTTAGATGAGCATCACCCTACAGTATATCCGTGCTTCAGGAACCACCAGACGAGCGATCAGCAGCTACTACTGTACATCGTCATGGATAAAAAGGTCATCCTGTGGCTGGGAAGCACATCTTTCACAGGACATGCTTGATGAGATTTCCTAGCTCCAGTTTGTTTTCACACAAGTTTACAGCATTTATACCTTTATTTAAACTGCTGTGTTTGATATGGAGGACCAAGGAAACACCAGAAGTGAAAGATTTGCACGCCAAGTTGTTTAAAATGTAATTTCAGAAGAAAACTATTAGTGACGATATATTGAATTTTCAAATTGCTCTGATGAAACATCAAGTTTGGACATCATATTTTGTTGATACTGTCTTTACTAATAAAACATTTAAAGCAAATTTGACATTGTTGCATTTTAAAAACTGAATGAATTGTTGAAGTTGTGAATGTTTTCAAATAAAATGTTTTTTATTTTGTAATTTACAGTCTATTTGACCTTTTTACCATATTTACACTCAAGAGAGTTGAATAAAATAATATATTACACCAGGTGGTGTTAAATATAGTTACATTTTTTAACTCTGCCCTGAGTTAAAATTAACCCTTACTTCGGTGTCAATGTGCCAACCCTTTTGAAAGTGTTGATTTAAGTCTGTTTTGAGTGGACCCCATGAGACACTTTCAAAGGGTTGAAATTAACACCCATAGAGTTGTTTTGGGTCCCCATATTTTGCTGTGTATTGTGTGTATTGGTCAATTTAGTACATCACAGTCTAGCATTGTGTTTCTCAACATTTTAACAATATCACAGAAAGTGTTTCATACAAACCTTTACATTTCCAAACTTATGAAATACAAGACATAACTGCAGTAAGGGGGACATTTAGAAAATAAAAATTCAATTTTCATGTGTACACACACACACACACACACACACACACACTCCTGTAACTGGAGCTATCAATGTCTGCAAAACCGTATCAGGTATCTTCTGATCATATCAGCACAACCCATGCTCAGCTATGGTTCCTCATTGCCCCATCAAAGTGCCTCTTTCCATCCAGGTACAGCATTGACTCTGAGGATGATCAAATGATTTGAGTTACAGAAAACATTTTAAATAGAAATATAAAAATTTGTATTTTCAAACAGGATATATTTGTATTGTCATATAGTATCTTTTAACCTCCATAGCTCTGTGGAACAACAGCTGGGACTTC